GGAACTTGAGACTCCTCTGTCTGATGACACACGAATCACTTGAACTGAACTACTCATTCAAATCAAACATGCGTTGATTAGATTTAGCTGATTACTGTAAGTAAAAAATATTTTTAGTCAATTTCATTCATCTAGCTAAAAATGTTCCAACTTTGGAGGTCTACTGAAGTGAGTATACCTCGTCAGTATGTCTTAATGGCGAATCAAAATGGCTTTTAAATGCTTATAAATGAACTAAACCTTTAATCACGACTTTCTCTGTAGTTCCTGGCTATCTTTGATGAATATTTGGGAGTTTTAGTTGGGTTTTATTTAAGCAGGTTTGTCTGTAGGTAAATGGAAGAGCTAAAAACGACTTACTTGCCAGAAAGAAAACTAAAAATCTGGTTCTGCCTGTGCTGCAAATGGAAGACAAGAGAATATACCTCATGGTAGAGACTAGAGAAATAGAGATGTTAGGAATTGACATCATGTTATGCACTTGGGGGTGCTAGATTGGACTTCAGTATCACCACACCCCTTTCAAATAAGCAGAAAATAATCTGTTAATTACTCTCTCCCATCTTTTCCAAACAACTTCCTTTTTGATTAGCTAATTTGTGGAAGTACCACCATTAATAATTTACTGTTTTGATCGAAGACTGTCTGGAATTCTCCAGAAGGAAACCACAGAGAGAGCATGCTCTTGTTAATTAATAAAGTATGTTTTTCCCAAGAGCTTATTTGGTTAATATGAAAAGTAAGAGGACACTGGAAGCCCAATGGCAGGAGTATGTGCTAGAGAGAAGAGGAATAGGGGATTGATGAAGGCAGATGGCGAAGGGTGTATATTTTCAATGTGTCCAGACTTCATTTATTCCTCACCAACCCGTAATAGTGAGGATTTTTGAGAATTGTTTGTAATTACATTTATTTGCAAATTTTTAAGACTAAGCTTTCTAGTATTTTTCCAGTTATTTTAATTGACTGATACAGAAAAAAATTTCAATACAAAAATTCTTCAACATTCTTATCAAATGTCAAAGGGTAACAGTGAAAAATCTAAGATGAAACAGATCAGAATGTCAGGAAGATTTGAAAGGTCTTTTGTGGTTCAGATATCCTGCTGGCCAAGGGTATAAAAGTGGCAATGCTTAAAATGCCAACAGAGCTCTCTTGATCAGATTCAGTAATGGAGTGTCCTACTCACAAAGACAGGATCTTCACATAATGTAGGTTGCACAGGGTCAGATTGAAGTTCAATCTGAAAACACTCATTGAAAGCCAACCATCCATTGTCCACATTTAGACCCTATTTGTTTTTGCCTCCCAGAAATTATGATCTTCAACATAGAACCTTTAGTGGACAATATGTTAACCTGATTTAGTGGTAAACATCACGGTTGGTTATTAGAGTGGAAGGTGAAAGAACCGTGGATGACAGTTCTAAGAGAGGCTACCCAATGTATTTCCCAATAGAACAGGTCCGCCCAAAGTTAATCTTGCTATTTATTTAATTCTTAATTTACAATAAGGACATTTTAAATAAGGTGTGAAATTGGATAAGTAGGTCTGCAGGGTTATATTCTTCACTGAATATGTACTTTGTTAATATCACTAGCAAATGTTTCTTTCTTTTGGGTTGTTGAACAGGCATGCTTGGTGTTAGACTTGAAACAGCATAATTTATGGATTCATACTTCAGTGTATCATTAGTGGAAAGATGCAGGAGAATTAGCATCTTTACTCTGAGCTATTCCCAAACTTGTGTGACAACAGAATCTTTTTGGATGCTTGTAATACATGTGGTGTCAAACACACTGAATCAGAGACTCTGGGGCAGGCTCTGGGAAACTGTTGTTAATAGACTTCCCAGGTGAGGCTTACATGAGGGCTGGCTTAGGAGGTGCTGCTCTCTCACCTGACATAAGATTACTTTTATATAAATAGGCTTTTTAACCCCCCCCCTTTTTTCTCTCTATTCCTCTATTTTTCTTTCCCTTTAAGATTTTTGTAAAATTTTAGAAATAGCTAATTTGCCTTTACAGTTACTGTGTTTGTCTTCAGGCTGGCATAGATGAGATAGATTTTCCCAGAGGCTTCACTTAATCAAGTGTTAAGGTGAAAAATTTGTCTCTTTTTCTGTGGAGTGGCTCATAAGAAAGAAGAGGAATTAATTTACACTGCCTGGTGTCAGGATGTAATATGATTATGTTGGCAAAGCTATAAAAAGAAATTAGTTAAAGATTATAAAAATTGGAAAGAGGTCACTGTTAGGACAGATGGATGAAACAGAGTGGCAAATCACTTAGCAGCTTTGGAGAGAGGAGGATATTATGGCTGGGGAGTCTATTGCGAGGGAAGTTTGGAGAAGGCCACTGGATGGTAATTATAGTTTTCAAGGTGGAAGTTCAGAATCTTACAGGAAAATATTTGTCTTAATGTATAAAAATGACTAAAAGTTCTATAAATATAGGGTAGCCAACTGTCTATTTCGCTGAGAGGGGACTTCACTTTTTGGGGGGCCTTCTCTCCTTTGTAACTGGGATAGTTTTAACACAAATAATTATGTAAAAACAGTATTAATTCAGTTTAAAAAATAAAATGTTTTTCCCTAAAAAACATACAAATTTACTTCGGTATTGTAACAAAAGCCTCTAAAGTTCATCAAAACAGAGGACACCGATGTTTGTGAGGTTATAGGGTACCTGAGGTGATAGCAGTTTCTGGTGAGTGAAAGGACAAGTGACACCTCTGTGAAGGTCACCTTGGAAGCTGATATGTGCAATCTGGGTGCCTCATCTCCCAGTACTTAAGGTGGTATTTTTTTTCTTTCTATTTAAAAAAAAATTATTTATGCACACAGAACTGGGGTACAGGCCATAGGTGCAGGGGTGGTGAGAGGATTTACTAGACAGAGTGGGGAACAGGCAGGCAAATTGACTGAAGTGCGCTTCTGAAGAGAATAGAGGGCTAGACAGGAGAGGTCTGCTGCGCCATGTGCGTCACCTCCCTGGCTGAGGACTTGAGCTGAAGCAGCAGCAGCAGCAGATAGCTTCCTAGTGTTGTGCTTAACCCATTGCATCTCCTCAGGTGGTATTTCAAAAGCAAAAGGAAAGTGATATTGGTTATAGGGCATTTTAATCACTTCCTTATTCACCCCTTAGGATAGGGAGAGAACTACTCACATGACTCCAAAAACAAGCAAGGGTAAGGAAAACAAGGAAAAGGGCAAGTTAAATGTCATAGCCTTGGGAAGAAGGGTACCAGGGAGGCCTCATAGGAATACTGTGGGGAAAAGAGTGAACAGGGACTTGGGGAGAGACAGGCTTTGTGCTATTCAGAAGGTGTCATCTTGTCCTCTGGGAGGATATTATTGGATTGTTTGAATAATTCTACATATAGGCAAACAACTGAAATGTACTACTCTGGAATGATCAGGAATTATCCTTTGTTCCTTTGAAAAGGAGTTGTTTGGCGAGGCCACATTCTCTCTGGGAGCACAGTGAAGATTGGGACTTGTGGTTTATCCATTCAAGGCCTGTTTTGTCAGATTTCTAGGCAGATGTCATTGGTGGAGGGTGATGAATTTTCTACTTTGTGAGTTCTTTGAGGAGGTCATTTAGATTCTCAATTAAACCACTTGCCTGGGGCTGGCTGTTTAGGGCGTGTGGGAGAGGTGGAAGATTGAATTCTTCCAACACTGTGTGTTCTGAGAAGTGAGTGCCTTGATCAATATCAGTAGTATCTAGAACTCCAAAGGAAATAGCGAGATTCCTGGTGAGCTTAGCATATGTAGAATAAACTGCTACCTTTATTAATTTTTTGTGTACCTGTGGGTAGAGAAATTTCCAGAAGTTTTCCTCTAAGGGGAGCAAGTCTTACTCACTGGTCCAAGAATTTATAAAAATGGACAACTGTGGCCAGTTGTTGATCACCTGTTTGCCAGTTGTGCTGACTCTTGGGTCCTCTCCCTCATTCTGGGGATTCTGGTTTAGGGGACGAAGCAGAGCATTCTGCTAAATTCCGTTATATATGGTGGTGATGATAGATCAGTAAAATATATGAGTTGACCTACGGGGCTCCCCAAACTAGCCAGTGGCTCTAGCAGGGAGGTGACTTCTCCAGCACTGTGGCTTCTGTTAAGGACTAAGAGCAAGGGTGATCACTCCCTACTAGAGGTGGGCAGAGCTATGGGCCTTAAGTTCAGCTCCATCCTGTGGTAAGGAAGACAAAAAACATAGTAAACTCGTGGGGTTTTACTTCAGTAATTCAGCATATTGGGTAATGGTACAGAGGGTCACAAGGTCAATGTTCATAAGAACCAGTACTAACAGGAAAGCCAGTATGTTGACAGTATAACTGCTATAATGATGGGTAGTATAAGGTCAAGAAAGGCAGTTTCGTGTCTCAGAAGATCTTGGACAATTTGTAATCATCACAAGTAGTGAAAAGACTCCAGGAGTCACTAGTTAAGTCTTCAGAATCCTTTACAGTGAAGAGGGCTCTAAGGGCACTAAGTAGAGTGCTTGTTTATTTCAATTTTGATAGATTTCTGGAGCCTTTCATAGAAAGGGACCTCTTGAGGTAGGCTGAGTTTTAAGTTAACAGCACAATGACATTAAAATTTATAGATGAAGAAAAAGTCACCTCTTTAACACAAAAAAAAATTTTAAATATATTGAACATGTATTATTAACCTTGTGGGTGTTGAGAGGCATCAATACCTATTTCTTGATAGTGTCAGGGATTTACCAGGTAACTCTCAGGAATTTATGAAGGTGCCATTTATTCCTTCAACATTGCTAATCTCCCTGGGGTCTGGCTTCACTTCCAGTAAGAATTATTCTGTCTATGGCCTGGACAGAAGCCATAAGACACATGAGTACACAATTAGGCCTTTGATGTGCTGGTGGACAGAGTCCTGGCAAAGCCTAGTTGCACTGACTGTGGGAATTGCATTGGGCGAGCCATTGAGTACCAAATACTCCTTCCTCCTCCCACTTTTTTTTTCTCATCAGCCCCTGGACCACAGGCCACCATGGATGTGCACCTCGATAACCTTGAGGGTCAGGAGAACACAAGCAACATCGACAAGGAAAAGAACAGCACAGGAGATAAGCAAGGTCACTACCCTTGCATGAACAACAGCAACAAAAACCAGGATACCATGCTTAATTCTCTTCAGGGTGGTGATCTCTTCCTCTTCACAAACCTTACAAAAGGTTGTCTCTGACTCTAAGGGTGTCCCAGAACTACACAATGCAAACAATATCTGGTATTGCTTCTACAAGCAGCCAGTCATGGTCACCAGGCTAGAAACATTGATATAGCTGGACCCTTAATAGTCAGGACTAAAGTGCTGACTGGTTAAGGCACTGTATTTTCACTACCTTTACAGGTGGGGACCTGAGATATCATCTGCCAAACCCAGACTAAACCTGACGATACCTGGGTACTTCAGGGAGTAGTCAAATACTATTAATTCTCATCTTGGAGACAAAAATGCTTTATGGTGGGAAAAGATGGCAATGCCTGACAAAGATAACAGAATACTACAGAAGATACAGCTCCAGCTTGCCAACAATTAGTAGCTCCATCTCAGGTAGCCTTTCCCAGGTAACATATCCAGTTAAGTAAGCCAAGGGCATTCAATTAAAGCTGACCAGGTGTCCTTGGATGGCAACGGTGATTTTTATTGCCTCCTAGTCACCCTTTGGTGGGGGAGATTCCTCCCTGGATGGGTGCAGGGGCAGCTAAACACCACACTTGTCACTGCACAGATGAGAACAGCTGTGCTCACAGCCCAAGGCAGTCGGCACTGTGAGCCCCTCAGGGCCACTGGGGACTGTACCTCAGGAACAGAGCGAACAACCAAGGGCCAAAGGCTGCAAGCTTTGTAGTAAAAGAGGGTGTGATGTCTCCTGTTTCCCACAGTGGGATGTGACTGGCTTATTTGAATAATTCTATGGGCTACCAAAGAGCTGAAAACCGATCCCTTGGGAATGTCTTGTGTCTTGTGCCTTGGCCCTTGATTAAAAGTGTTGTTCCTAGGGTGCCTTGGTCATGGGAGAAGGTAGGGAAGGAAATTTGTGCTTAGGCAATTCAAAACGCTCATTTGTTGGACATTAGGGAAACATGGAAGAGTGATCCTTAATTTTAAACCTTTTGCCACTTGAAGAAATGATCCCATGTATGATTGTGGATTGGTTGTGAATTTGCCAAAGGGAAAACAGATTTTAAAATGGAAGTGAATGCTTATATTCCAAATTACAAAAAAACCTTCTGCTGTGAAGGAAAAGTTACAATCTGAGTTAAAATAAATTTTGATAAGGAGAATAGTTATACTATTGCATATTACTGGATATGATTTTTTTCTGATTAAAAGAGATAAATATTATTACATAGATGAAAAATTATTGATCCAGATCATTCCCTGCTACTATGGAAGGTTCATGTCCTTAAAAAACCCTTAATCTACTGCACTTTAAAATACAGGATAAGTATTTTCGAGTCTTCTGAAATGAATGTCTATGTCGATAAATAAGAAAATTCTTCATAGTCCCACAACAATGAGGGACTATCACAAATCTAGAGACAGGAGAATTCTGTACCCAGACACTTCCCTGGGTTTCTGAATGACACCTGACTTATGTTTTTGACAAAGTCATATTCTGGGAACTAGGGAAGAACTTAGGTCCTACTTGCGGTGGAAAATCAGATTGGATCTTTAGCATAATGCTTATGTCATAAAACTTCAGAATGAAGCTGAACATGTCAGTAGTGATACATGGCGTTAAAAGCTAAGGTTATAAGTGAAGTGGTGGTGGAATTCTACAGGGATTACAACTGAGATGAAAAATGTACAAAATGAAGAATAATGTAAAGTACAGAAATATATGTAAATATTTATAATAAAATAAATTAAAAATAAAAGTAGAATGGGTTAGAAAAAAAAAAAAGCTAATGTTATCAATAAAGCCCCTGTCTTCAAAGGAAAACAGTAAAGATACTTTCCCTATTAGCCTTGTCTTGGACAGAAAGGAAGGAAAATACTTTCCTTATAATTTAGGACCATTGTGTAAAGCCACGCAAGTTTGCCACTGTGTAGTATTTAGATTTCCTGAAAGATCCCATGCTTGAGAATTTAAAGGTAACCAATTTGGTGGTGCCTCCAAACACCCAGTCAAGACAAATTCAGAGCCTCTGGAGAAGAAAATGTTTTAATTCAAGTCTCAGGTAATCTCAAGGAAAAGGTTTTAAAAACTAGATTACTGCAACCAAAATCATAAAACATGGAAGAAATAAGTTACCATGAGAAAGATGCTAAAGAAACAATAAATAACAGAATTAGAATATAAAAAAATATAGATGTTGGAATTACTCATGAGGAGTTTTAATATGGACTTAATATATTCAGAAAGAAAAAATGATGGTATTGAAATTATGTATGACTAAGGGATAAGATGCTATAAAAACAACGAAGAATGCTTGGAAAGGGAAAAACCAAACAGGTTATCTAGAAGTGAGAAATATAATAAATGGAAATTAAAAATCTGTGCATATCTTTAGAGCAGATTAAACACACTCAAGAGAGAACTAGTGAATTAGTAGGTTAATCTGAAGACTATGCAATATGAAGCACAGAGTCACATAGAGGTAGAAAATATTAAAGAATTTTTGTGAGACTGATCAGTAGAATGAGAATATCATTTTGCATGTCTAGCTGGAATTCCAAAGGAAAGGATAAAGGTTAAAAAATAACATTCAAGGATATAATACCTGAAATCTTCCCAGAATGGATAAAAAATCTCAAATGCAGGGATTCTAACAATTTATGAGGACACTAAACAAAAAAGGACCATTTCAGAACACCAAAGAAAAATATCCTTAAACCAGAAAAAAGCTTTTACAAACCAAGAATGACAGTTATGCCATCAGTATATTATTCAGAGTACTCCAAGAAATGTAACCAAGCGAATGTATATTTATCTATTATAAAAAATTGATTCATCCTGTTATGGAAAATGAAGAATATCAAACCTGCAGTCAAAAAGCTGGAAACCCAAGAGCATCAATGGAATAGATTCAACCCTAGTTTGAAGGTCTGACAAGAGGAGAGAGGATGGTGAAAGTTCCTGTCTGCTTTTGAGTCTGAAGACAGAGATTGTGCCATTCCAGGACAGTCAGGCAAAGAAAGCAACTTCTCTCTTACTCAATGTTTTGTTCTCTACAGATCTTCAATGAATTGCTCACCCACACTGGGAGGACACTCATCTGTTGATTCAAAAGTCAATCTCATCTAGAAATGCCCTCACTCAGAATAAACTTTAACCAAAAATCTGAACACTCTCTGGCCAGGTTGACACCTAAATTAACCATCATGATCAACAAACTTCCTAAGAGCAAAAATGAAATAGTGTAGTGATGATATTGCAAAGTTCTTGGAGAAGGTAATTTCAACCCTGAGTAGTACACCTTGCAAGAATGAGAAAACAAAACAAAATCCCAATAATTCCCAAGAGAATTTCTAAAGTCTATCCTCCAGGCAAAAGGTAATTATCTCAGAACAGTAATGTGCAAAAAAGAATTTTGTGGCAATATAATGGTATTGTAGGTATGCAGGAGAAAATACTTCTTAAGAGCTACATACTGAAATATTTAGATATGGGATGCCATATTATTAGCAGTTTACTTTCATATGGTTAGCAAAGTTGGGTGTGTGTATTTAGACACAGAGGGAGATTAAGCAGAGCAAACTGTTAACAATTATTGACCAAATGGAGGTCATTTATTCAACAATATGGATATATTTAAATAGTAAATTCACAGAAAACACTAACACTCCTAATTTATTTAATAATAATCATTTATTTTGTTATAAATTGTGATCAGCACCACCTGTTTTTCCATGATCAAGTCTTCCCATTAGTATCCAGCTTTGTGATGTTTTCTCTCTGTGTATCCTCCAAGATCACTGGGAGTCTTTCAGTGACCACCCCCAGTGTCTGCAGCCTTGGTGACACCTATGTATATGTGTGTCTTTTTTAATTTAAACTGGAATCTCTGCATCATTCCGTTTGACTCTCCTGGAAGAACCCCACCCTATCTTAGTAACTAGCACTTTGTAATGGACTTCATATCTTATGGCCAAGTTCTCAGGCTATATAATGTCTTCAGGTCTGATAGAATGTGTCTTTCTAAGTTTTTCCTTTTTTAAGGAAGATGCTCTTCTTGGTCTGTTTCATTTACATATAAAGTTTGTAATCAGCCTATCAGCCAGATTCTGTAGACATGCTTACAGAAATTTGTTTTTTAATCACCTCCTCACAGTATCCTTTCCATGAGTTTTTATTTTCAGACAATGCATCTTAAATATATTTTTATTATATGACTTAGAAATTCCTGTAGTTACCTAGTGCTTACAAGAAGAAATGTAGTATCTTTAAAAATGACATTCTTTGCAGCTTGGATTCCAGTTTTATGATTATGCTCCAACTTATTTTTCCAACTCTAAGTCACACCGCATTCCATTAGGGCCAGATGTTTCCTTTTCCTTTATTTGGAACTTGCCTCTGACACTCCAATCTAGATGACTTAGCTTAAGGTATTTGTTGAGCTTGAGAGCTTGATAATTTTTCTCATTTCCTTTTTACCTGTGTTAATCCTGCCCAAACATTAAGATCAAATACTATATACATGCTTTGCAGCTTCGTGACATCTCTCAATGGCCCCAAAATTCAATAACTATTTCCATTTTATATTTTCATAACATATTAAATTTGTATCACTTATTTCAATATGTAATATATTGACTTTTATTTTTACATTTCTTTTAATATGCTTGTATTTCATCTATATAATTAAGTCATATGCTCTTTCAGAGTAAAGACCATGTATTTTGCCTTTTCAGTGTGAACTCACTGTCAGTTAGTGTTTAGTCTCACTTGGGGGATTTCTCTAGATTCTTACATTGAAAGAAGGATGTATAGTGGATGATTAGTTGAATAAAGACTGAGTCTTGTTCAACAAATATTTGGTGGAGTGTAATAGAAAATGCAAGGAATGAAGTGTCTGATGAAAGGGGTCTGATCTTGCCTCTGTCACCTGCTAACTGGGCCTGTTT